AGACCCAACAAAGCCACTTCTGTCTTGCTCCTTGGGGCAGGATGACACCAGGAGGTGCAGATCATTTTGGTGATTGGGAAGACAGCCAAGGGGGCAAGAAAGGTCAGAATTACACCTGTAAGGGTAAAATGTGACCTGCTCAAACGGAACGTGTGAGCAGGGGCAGGAAACCTACAGGCTCATTGGAAGCGTCGGAGAGGATGTAAACCCTGGAGTAGCCAGCCAGTGGGGAAGCAGGGGAGGGAACTTTGCTTCGAGAACAGGGAATAGAAACCGTTCCTCAGCTGCCTATGGGTGTGCCTGCTTGTTTAGGTCACCCGTTCTGGGCAGAGTGTCAATAAACTGTGCCTGGTTGAAGGGTCTGGGTGGGCTTGTTTGGCAGGACACACGTTTCTCACACACCTGACGTGCGGAATCACGACTCTACAGCCAGTAAGGTTCTAAAGAAGGTGTGTTTATTCAGCGCTGGGTGCAGGGGGATCGCCCCTCCACAAGCTGCACACCCCAGGGCTGTTGGCAAGCTCGTTATGTGACACAAAGTCATACGTGTTTGTCCGTGTTGTTGCTTATACATTAGGTGTCCGAGGAGAGGGAGGGGTTATTACAATTAGCCCCGGGAATCATTATCATAGTTGCCCCCACGGGCTCCTCCTTGCTGCACCTGCACGGTTGTCTCCTGGGGTCACAGGCAGGGGTCTCTGGGATGAAGGCTGAATGTCTTCCTCGCTGTGCACTTCTCACCTCTCAGCATTCCTTTCTGGAGTCTCCTCCACGTTGTTGCCTTCTCAGCAGGTTTCTGGGGGAACATCCTCTCACACAACACCCCGTTTACATTCCAAGCCCTATCAGTCTGTTCTGTGAGAAACGTTTGTCGCGCCAATGAACAGGCCCACCCAGATCCTTCAACCAAGCACAGTTTATTGACACTCTGCCCAGAACGGGTGACCTAAACAAGCAGGCACAGCCATAGGCAGCTGAAGAATGGTTTCTATTCCCTGTTCCTGACCCAAAGTTCCCTCCCCTGCTTCCCCAGGTACTCCAGGGTTTACAGCCTCTCCGACACTGCCAATGATCCTGTAAGTTTCCCGCCCCTGCTCACACATTCCATTTGAGCAGGTCACTTTTTACCTTTTAAGGTAAAATTTTTACCTTTCTTGCCCCCTTAGCTGTCTTCCCAATTAACAAATCCACTGATGTCATCCTGCCCTGAGCAGCAAGACAGAAGTGGCTTTGTTGGGTCTTATCTTGGGCCACAAATCCTTCTCCATGTTTGGATCCCCAGATGGAGCCCAATTCAGTCCCTCAGTTTCTTGGGCCATAAACTACTCCTGGTGTCCTTAGAATGTGCAGATATCTCACTTCTCTTAAACAAACTATATATTTAAACCACTAGGATATATATATATATATATATAAACCAAACCCAACACTATGTTTCTAACACTAGAATGCAAAGTCAACACTACATTTCATTTCTAACAATTCTAAGTCTTACCTTTACATTCCAAACCTTATCTATGCTAAACAGTGCCATCCTGTTTACTCCTTATGTGTTAGTCCTGTTCACCAAGGGAGGCCTCTGGTTTTCCTTAGATCACCCAGGCCCTTGTGCCCCTTGTTCTTCAGACCAGATGTTTGCACAGCAGGAGGGATTGAGCAGACCGTCCCACCCACATGCTGGGATTACAGAGGTACCCATGTGCCTCCCCCCACGTTTCCCCCTCTCTCCCCTCCTCCCAGACATCCCGGGGGATCATTCCAGCTGCAGGAGGGGTTGGGGCGCCCATTTCTAGCTCCACACACCACCAGGCAGGAGGAGGCAGTGAAGAGGGGGAGGTCTGGGCTGCAGAAGAGCTTTCCACCCGACAGCTCCTCACTGCTGGAAGGTTAGGCAGTGCAGGGATGTTCAGCTCCGTCCTGCCTTCGTCTTTGTGGCAAGGAAGGAGGTGGAGAAGTGTCCATTAAAGAGCCAAAAGCTTTTCTGCCGCAGACGTTTTGGTGTGGTTTCCTTTTTTAAATTTAGCATCAAGTGGATGTGCACAAAGACAGTGAGATCAGTCCAAACCTGTACTTTATATACATAGTGTCCCAATAGCTTGGTGACAAGCAGTAAAATACCTGTCTGAGCAACTGGACAGCATGATACCAATGTTTAAAAACACAGGGTAGTGCTGGAGGTACTTAGGGAGGGGACAGAATGTGATGTCACTGGAGGGAGGGTACAGACAGATCATCTTCCTTTTTAGAGAAAAGGAGTCAGGATTCTCCAGCTGGGGAAAATTTTCCTATTCATTTTTTTTTTTAGTAAAAGATACCAGTTAGTCCTAGGATGTGCAGTGCTCCAGGTGAGCACAGTGAAGGAAGTGACACAAAAAGGTGACTACACATGTGCCACCCAGGCCAGCCCTAGCAGGAAGGGGCTCAGGCAGGTTGCCAACAAAATCTCAGCCCTGGATGTGGGGAATGTGCCAAGTGGAGCCCAGAAAAGGAGCCTCCACTTCCAGATGGTCACAGGAGTGGCCATCAGTGACCATCAGGCCACACAATGCTCTCCAGCTTCACTTTGGCCTTGGCAATGAACTCCTCAGAGGCATCAACAAGTGGAAGCCTTGGAGGTCCCATGGGAATGCCAGAAACAAACGTCATCACAGATTTAGTCTGAGCAACACCAAAACCTGGGTGGACAGAAGCAACATCAGGTCATTTACAGATCGTTTATCTTCAAGCAGTCTCTGCTCAGGGGTCCATGAAAGCAGCAGCACCGAGTTCCTGTGTAACCTGGCACCCCAGCAACCTGATCTTTGCAGCCTCACAGCTCCCCTGCTGCAGGCACACAGAAAATAAAGCCTGGGGGTAGTAACATCCTGCTGGCATGTGACAATGGCATTGGCTACCAGCTTAAATGACCATGGGTAACTTCAAGAGGCCCCTCTGTCCATAGGTCAATTCTCCTTATGAGCCCCTGGAAAGTCAATGTTTACCTCTTTACTTATCAGGCTAAATAACTCTGCACTAAAGCACTAAAGCTCAGCTAGATCCCTTGGGGCTTGCAAATCTACAGCAAAAACACAGTCAACAGTTCTCTTCATTAAGTGAAAACCAGGGAATTTCTGATTCTGTCTCCCTAGGCTACTCTGACTTGGCTGGGTTTAATTGGTTTTTTGTATTAAAACTTGGGTTTGTTACTGAAAATCATTCAATTTTAAAATGCTTTAGCCTTGTACAGCCCTGAAGAGAGTCACTCTTAAATTATAGCAGGGTAGGAGAGGCAAATGTCAGAGCTGCTTTCCTAGCATTTCACCACCATTTCTCAGAAATCACTCTCTAGAAATGAAACTAGAGATGAGCTTTTGGAGACAGAAAAAAAACCAAAACAAACACACAAACAAACAAAAAAAACCCCAATAAACAAACCCACAGAAAGAGTTAGGATAAGAAAAAGGGCAAATCAGAATCACAGCTTAAAAGCTGTGACATTGCACAAAAGGAAGGAAATGAGAGAGGAATCTGTCAGGGATGCTTGGTCAGCTCCCCTTGCTGAGCTCCCAGCTGCAACTAACTTGGGAAGCAGCAGAGACAACATTTCCTCACTGCAGCATCTTTCAGGAAGGAAGTTCTGAGGGCATAGCAACGTGGCAGTTCCTGCAGCATCGAGTCTGCACTGCTAGATGCAACAAGAGACAGGCACAGTGTAGCACTTACCTAGTTTGATGACAAAATTGAGAAATTCCCCAATGAGAAACTAGAAAAAGACAGATAGCAGTTTATTAGCTTCTTCAAATTTGAAGATACAAAAGCATCTAAAGTTACTGTGTCCTTTACATTGTACATGATTGTTGCACAGCTCTGAGGAAAGCCCTTGGCCACCTGGGTAGCCCAAGGGAAGTACTAATTTAATCCCATTGGCACAGGGGAGGGAGTGGTGGATGCAAGAAAACCATCACTGCCTCTCAGTCTGTCCCCCATGTTCAAGCTGTCCCTCACTGGAAGCAGCCTGAGAACACTGGTCTCATGTTGGCTCTAAAGGTTTACAAATCTGAGTATCCACTGCCTAGTGAAGAGATTCCCCAGAGCAGATCACCTTTCAGACATCCTTTAGGCTTTCATCCTGCAGTCACTTCTGTTTGAAGGAAAGAGAAGGATGCCTCAAATGTCCCCTAAAAACACTGGGTATAGACTGTATTGCTCAGAGCTCCTCACAAATCTCCAAGCTGCCCAAGATCAGGAGGGGTCAAAGGCAGAGCTGCTTTCTGCCCTGCATCATAGAAGGTATCTCCAGAATATGAGTGGGGGCTTGGCCACCATGGACTTGTGAAAGGAAAGAGGTTCAGCCACTGCTGCTCTGTGTAGGTGAGGTTAGAAGGCTGAAGGATAACTAAGGCAGGTCTTGGTTAACAGTTAGTAAGGACTGGTGGAAAAGGTGAGAGGAGCTGAGTAACAAGCAGGGGGGTTGGAGCTGAAATAAGTTTGCTTTCCTAAAGCCACCTCAGGGTATGGATGACAAAGCCACGTGGAAAACAGCTCCAGTAAAGCCAGAGGAGAAAGCTGCTCCCAGTGGGGACAGGAAAGATACTGTACCTGATACTTCCGTGCTAACACAAGGTCTGGCTTTGCAAAGGCTTGCAACATCAGATTAGTTTTTTGGCCCAAATAGTTGTATGTACTGCCAAAAAAAAAAAGCAAACCAAAAATGGAATTGGTAAGTGCAAAGGGGGAGCTTAGAGCCACTGAAACAAAAGACACAGCCACAGGCTTTTGCTGTTGACATGATAAGAATGTCACTATGATGACAGAGATTCATGCAATCTGTGTGCAGTTTGTACTGTCAAGCATCTCAAGTATGCAAAGCCCCACAGAGGAGGTTCAGAGAACACATTTCTCCTCCCAGTTCTTTCCAAATGGAACTGCTTTTCAAAAATAAAAATAAAAGTAAACAATCAGACAATACAGAAAGTCAGTAACTTCATTTTCCAGTTGCTTGTTCCTTTAATGGATCATCTACCCAAGAACACAGACATCACACAGTCATTCATCTACACGGCCTGGTATGAGGGGCAGAAGTCAAACCAGAAATTCAACCCAGCAGGGCTCTTCCCTCACAGACTTCTCAGATGAACTGATTTTAACATCTCTGGGTTTTGGTGCCTTACTCATATAATGAAGACAAAAGAGATCCCCTCCTTCAAAAAAGCTGCCATGAGAATAAAGAAATATGTCAAAACCTTTGGCTCAGCTTACAGACTGCATCAATAACCACCCAAAGCGACATAACCTGAAATCCCAGGTTGTACAACTGTCCCATCACTAGCACTGGAGCTGGTTTGTCTGTCTCCTTGCTCCTCTACAGCCTGACCCTGCAAAGTCCTCCATTGCTGTGACAGGAGGTAGTCAGAGAAACACTGTGTAGGCAGGGGAAGATACAATAAGGTGTGTATGTGTGTTGAGGGGAAGGAGTCCAGGGCAATACTGACCTTCCAACTGCTCCATCTGCCCCTACTGCCAGTGCACTCAACAGTTGCTGGTTTGGGGTGGGGAGGAAAAAAAGAAAGCACATTTTTACTTCACATAAAAAAAAAAAAAGGGTGGTGGGACTGAGCAACAAAACTACCTGGCACTGAATGCCCAGGGTTACTTTTTTTCTGCAAGGCTGAAGCAAGACAAGGCTAGAGAATAAGTAATTTTTAGGAGGTGCCTCTTACCTCATCCACTCCATAAAGAAATGCAAACTGTTCTCTCTCATTCTTGTACACACACTGTGCAAGGTCCAAGAGGTCTGTGTCACTGAACTTCACACCCTGGAAGGTGGGG